CTGTCCCCTGCCCCAGGCTCAGCCTCAGCACTAAACTACACCTGCTCTGAAGGACAAAGTGTTAAGCTGAGCGGCGCTGGGTCTGCCGGCCACAGACCTGTTCCTGAAGCACTGGCTGAGGGCCGGGGCTTCCCGGGGCTTCGGTCTGGTGGCTTCAGGGACTCCCTCCTCAGTGGCATCATCCCTGCCCCCGTGGGGGATTTAAGCCGTGTGTGGGATCAGCAGCCAGGCTTGCCATGGGTTCCCCTCGCCCGGGTCTCCTGCCTTGAGCATCCCTGGTGCCTGTCCCACGCCCCTCCGAAATTCGTGTCTGACCTGGGCCAGCCCCGGTGCCTGCAACCAAGGGGGGGCAGACCTTGCTCTGCCCAGGCACGGGGCCGTGCCGTCAGGTGCCTGCAGTTTCGGTCGTGGGTCCCTGGGGAGGCCAACCCCCACCCCTACCCGAGGAACCAAAACAAACAGCAGAGTTCCTGCCACGTGCAGCCGGGGCTGACTAAGGCCGGACGCTTCCGCCTGCCACGGGCAGCAGCGGCCCGGGGCGTGAGCCACCGCCATCGGGGTGCACGGCACGGCCCATTTCCCCCTATTGTCAGGCTCCCCCTCGGCAAACACATCCCCCTGCGCACCTGGGCTGGGAGGAGGCACTGACCCCGCAGCCGCCAGGAGCCAGGGATTTGCTGCCTGTGGCGTCACTCGGAGTCAGAGCCGCCACGGCACAGCTCTGGGTGCTCAGGCAGGTTGTTTGCAGGTTGTTTGCTTGAGAAGTAATGCTGATCATCCAGGGGTCACTGATGCATCCCTGCTTGCCTGCAAGGGCACCGGAGAGCCCTGTGCTTCCCGGAAGAAAGCATCAATCTCCTGGCAGAGAGGCCTGGGTTTCCCCATGAGGAGGGGCTGGTGCCAGGGAAGTCCCTGCCAGACCATGCCCATCCCCGTTGCCACTCTCAAGTGCAGGCACATGCAGCTCCAACCGGCCAGTCTCCAGCCCTCTGCCTTTTTCCTTCTGTCCCCACTGCGGAGATGCAACCTGTGGATGATTGAGGTGGTTTATCTCAGCGTTGGCTACGAACCCAGTCGTCCGCACTCACTGATAGGGGAGCTTAGGAGAGCCTAAGAGCCGGATCACGGGGCTGGGGAAAACAATCAAATGGAACAGTGAGGGTGAAACATGGGCACTCTGGGATGAAGGGTGGATGCGAGGAGCCCAGTGCCTTATGTCTTCCTGCTGCTTGGGAATCCCATCACTGATCACTGTGCAGGACGTAGGTAGCTGCTGTGGGGGCTCTTGCCTGCCGGGAGAGGCGGCAGCAGCAGCCTGAGGAGGTGGCTGTGACACTGGAGCATGGGGGAATTGGCACTTCCCCCAGCAGAAGCCTCCAGCCCTGATCAGACTGGCTCTGGTGTCCTAAATAGCAGCAGCACAAAAATAATGCCCTGAGGACCTCAGGGGTGTTCTCCAAGGGCTTAGCAGGTGACGCAGGAGGTCCTGGGTACAGTCGGCTTAAGAACGATGCAAGGATGAGTTTTGTTGGGCTCGTTTCATCTGAGATGCTGAAGGTGGGATTTTGTCGGGGAGAAGACACCTGTGAGGGGATTTTGATGCTCAAATGAGGCTGTTTTATGGAAAAGGGGACTTAGAACACGTTCACCAGTGGTGAGCAGGGTGAGGATTCGCAGGGGAGAGTGGCTGCCTGCGCTGGGCTCCTCCAGTGCTTGCAGGCAGCCCACACCCCCGCTGTTACCCCTTGCCCAGAAGGTGTAAGCGGCACCAAGGTGAGCCCGTTCCCCAGCAGGGCTGCGCTGCGGCGTGCTTGCAGCCAGGTGCTGGGGCTGTCCATCTCTGCCGGATTGCCAGAGCTCAGCCGCAACAGGGATGCACCATCATATCCCACCCGCCTCCCACCCCAGCACTGCGGGCAGGGCAGGGAGGTGGAATGGGCCGGTGGTGGCATATTTGAGGCGATGGTCTCAGCCCTCAGCCGCCGCATGGGGTTCACCGCAGGGGAGGCATCTGCCCTTTAAGGAAATGTCTCTATTTGCCTTACGTCCCTGGCTGGTCCCTTGAGCCTCTTCTGTCCCTTGTTGCCGAAGTGCGTAGCTCTGCTCCCCAGAGCCCGGTGGGAGGCGATGCGAGGGACACGCCGGTGCATTTATAGCATCGACCTTCCAGCCTTGTCCTGCAGCTGGGAAGGGTAGGCTCGGCCCCTGGGGAAGGAGCGCGGCAGAGGGGAAAGCGAGCGGCCGCAGCCCCAGCCAGCTGGATGTTTCTTCCATTTGCAGGAGGATGTTGCTGGTCCCAGATTACCAGTGTCCAAATATTATTTCTCTGCTCCCGTCTCTGCTCCGTGCCGCCTAGAAAGGGGATGCTCATCCCAGGAATGTAAACTCTGCCCAAGGCCTCTGAGAAAATAGCTTCAGACCAGGAACAGGATTGCACTCGGCAATTAAGGGCTGGTCTCCCCAGCCACACGGCTTCTGCGGGAGAGCCCTTTGCTCCAGCGCCAGAGGCTGGCCTTGTGTCTGAGAGGTGGCCCCGAGGGACCTTCCTGCAAGGACAGGCGTGAGGCCCTGTGTGGTCACGGTCTTTGCAATAACAGGATTCTGTCTGTCCAGTGAGTTGGCAGCAGCTGCTCTGCGGGGCAGCCTCTGGTCCGGGCTCTCGGGGGGGAGGAAATGCTCCCTTCGCCCCCCATCTCAAACCCATCCCTGGGGAGGTGGGGGTGGTCCCCTTGGTCCAGGAGGGTCTGTTGGCAGAAGGAGAGCACAGGCATGCTCCAGACATCACAGTGGGGACATTACCCCACTGCCCCAGCCCCTTGCTGCCCAGTCAGGGACAAGAGCGTGAACAGGCACCAAACTCCGCCGCTGCAGCCCCCGGCAGCTGCTGTGCTGTGCCGTGGAGTGATGAACTGCAGCGCACCCAGCACCACCCCTCCACCTCTCCCCAGCGGGGCTGGGATTTCTGTGCGCTTATCTCTGGAGCATCTCCCTGCTAATTGCCAGGCCCTGCTCCAGCTCCAGCAGCTTTCTCACACACTCAGCAGTACCAACGCCGGGGAAACTCCAGCCGGAGCCCAGCTCCCTCTGACGCCTGAGCTGCTGCCACCTGCATGGCCTGGCGGGGCTGGGGACAGGCAGCTGGCACGTCCCACATCCCCTGGGGACAGACCCCACAGGGCTGGGGACAGACCCTATGGGGCTGGGGACACGCCACCGGCATCCTCATGCCACAGGAACGGACCTCACACAGAGATGGGCAGGGAAGCCCTGGAGCAGCCTCCCCGCTCTCCCAGGAGGACAGAAACGTGAATCCTGGCAGGGACACAGAGCCCGTTATTTCCCTGGGACCTGCGGCCCACAGGGGATCATGTTGCCTGCTGGCATCTCTTCCCTTCCCACCTCCCATAGCTCCAGCTTCCCTGGCCGCTGGGGCTTAAAAATAGAACAGAAAAGGCCACAGAGCTCCTCTGGGGTTACCCTCGGCAGCAGGGTTTGGCCCTAGACTTTCTCCAGGGAACCGCTGTGCCACCTTCCCTCCCAAACTGGAGGGACCTCCCATGGCGGACAGGATGGGGATGGTGTCCCTGGGGCTGAGGGGTTTGGA